ATACTTCCTGGAAAACACATACAAAAAGGTTCCTACAGTCCTAAAGGTCCAAAATTTGAATTTGGACACCGTTTAAAAGAATCTTCTCGTTGGATGGAAAGAAAGGATTTTCTTTCCTAAAAAATATTAAAGGGTAAAAATCTTTTTAAAGAAAATAATTCTTACACTTGGTTTAGAGAAAAACATTACATATTAATTATTACTTCACCATAAAAACTTATTACAAATAATATTAACAAAACTTAAAAACAAGACTTACAATCGCGCTATTTGCAATTCAAACAATTCAAATTTCTGGTTATGTACCAAATGGCCGAAAAAGATACTATTAACGGTAATATGTCGAAATAAAATAATAAACCTTTTTGAAACATTAATTTTAATTATAACAGTTAACTTTATTTAAATAAAACTAATATGACAATTGGCTAATTCATAAAACTTATAACTTTATTTATTACAATTGTTTAGTTTTTCATGGAAGCAAATTTTTTATTGATGAAAAATATCTATTTTAACTTAGAAAAATGTTTAAAAACAAGTACCTGGTATCACTCTGGTAGATGTATTTGCTTTAAGAAGTTTTTGGGATTAGAACTGGACTAAAAAAACTGCAAACAAACACAACTCTATCTCACTCAAGCTGAAAATTGGTCTAAAGAGACCAAGAAACACAAATGGACAATTATTTGGAAGTTGGACACTCAATTCGGACTTTGAATTATCCTGGATGACAAAAAACTGCAAATCTTTAAAACTCGACATCTCAAACGCTCCTGCTTAAAATTATGTGGACCTCTCAAATTGTTGTAACGCTGCTTTACAAATCTCCCACATAAAACACAACACAGCAAATCAGTGATTTATTCAACATACACTGCCAGATTGCATTTGAGCTTGAATTCACCTCTCCACAAAAAAATTTGCCGGCTTTTGAAGACTACATACGCCGAAAACTTTCTCCTTCAAAATCTTAATCCAAAGTTAACTGCTACATGCTACCAAACTTTACTATCTCCGATAACGAAAACGAATAAAGAAAAACAATAACAATTAAAAAAAAATCCGTACTTACAATAAAACCAAACGCTTTGGCGTGCTATCGTAGAGTGATGTCATTCTTAAAAATCATTCGCCGCCCGCATAACTTTCTCAGCAATCTAAGTCGATATTTATATGACGCGCAATATTAGGCGGCACCACGATCAAAGGAATGCAATTAAAATTATTATATACAAACCAGAAATGTTTTAACATATGCAAGGTGATTCTAAATGCGACAGTCTTAGCCTTTTAATGTTTCGCAATATCTATGAGCCAGATGTCATAACGTTCATTAAAACACAGTGACTTAGATGGGCTGGACACATAATACGAATGCCAGAAAATACGATTGCTAAAAATCTAACCACAGAAACACCTGTAGGAAGAAGAAGCAAAGGCCGACCGCGAATTAGGTGATTAGATGGAGTTGAAACCGACTTACAGATATTAAAAATCAGAAGATGGCAACATGTTGCCAGAAACCGAACAGAATGGCGACAAATCTTAGAGCAGGCCATGATCCACAAAGGATTGTCGAGCCAAAGATGATGAATATCTGTCGGAGTTAACTGTTGTTCCATGAGGCAAAAAGTCGATTAACAGTAGGTCCTTTCTATCTCAATTGAGGGTTGATATGACTATTCCAGCATAACGCGTTTGTTTACACTTCTTTCGGCTTCGTCGAAGTTGAGTGACGTCATTCAGGTGATTGCTACTTGTTTTTAGGGGTTAAGTGAAACACCTATGTTTTGTCGTCTGTAACAATGGAATTACAATAGAACTGGCGATGAATTTCGATAGAAGAAATCCGTTTTTTACTTAAAAAACGTTTTACAGTACGAATTACGCATCTGGTGGTAAAAGCGATCGAGAACTCCATGTTCGAAGGCAACTAAGCCAGCCTGAACACTGCATCGAGGCAAGAGTGGTAGGGTAGGGTGAAAGAAAGAAGGAGAGTTGATGCATAAGGTAATAGTTAAACGCAATTGTCAAAGTAAGTTAGTGTTAGTCCTCTCTCTCCAATGGCGCTACATCCTAAATCGAGCCTTGTCTTCCTTTCAGCCATGCGTTCCACCTTGCAGGTCTTTCCTTCTTCATGTACCATATCCTTTAAGAACGTTAGTTACCATCAAAGCTATCTTAATTTTATTCACTGTCACCCTAAATAGCATGCTTGTATCAACACCATACCAATCTCTCAAGTTCTATAACCATGAGGTTCTTCTTCGCCCTGAACTGCGTTTGCCTGTTATTTTTGCTTGCATGATTTTTTGTTGCAACCTATATTTGGAACCTCCATTACATGTCCGAAATACTCTTGATCTCAAGATCTCAAGCAACTTTCTCTGCTTGATGCTTTTTATGATCTCAGTAGTCTTGCTGAGATGTTCTAGCATTGTGGAGTTTCGAATCTTCTCCACCCAGGAAACTTCGAAAATTCTTCTATAGCTTCACATTTCGAAAGCCTCAAGACGATTTAGATTGATTTTATTCACAGAGAACAAGTAGCAGCGAAGTAGGCGGATACTTAATGTCAATTTTAAGTCTGTGTTATATAGTACCTTGAACATCCTTATAAAAGCAGCTCTAGCCTGCTCTATCCTAGATCTAATTTCGTCGTCACTTATTGCGTTACAATTTAATTGCTGTCTAAGGTAAACGATTTATTCAACTTGCTAAAGTTTGGTATTATTTATACGGTTTTGTATGCTGTTGTTTACTTATTACGAGTATTTTGGTTTTCCGTATGTTCAGATCTAGACCTGCCTCTCTACAACTCTTAACGACACTATTGAGTAGTGTTTGCAGATCTTGACTATAAGCTAAGAGTACTATATCGTCCGCATATCGCAAATCATTGATGACTTCACCGTTCACAAGTATTTGTTCTTGTTTTTCAGACAGTGCTTTTCTAACAATTCTTTCGGAGTAAACGTTGCAGGGGTGACAAGAGGTATTCCTTGCCGTGCTCTTTTTTTAATATAGAGAGCCTGTGATTCCACATCATCTACTAAAACTGATGATGGTTGATTCCAATATAAATTTGCATTATTCGAACATCTCTGCAGTCCAAGCCAATGTTTTTAAGAGCTTCGATCAATATAGAGTGCTTAACAAAATCAAATGTCTTTTTGGAAGTCAATAAAACAACAGTATATATGTACAAATATATGTTGACATCTTTGAGCAAGTACGTTCATTCCAAACAATGCCTCTTCTCATTGAAAACCCGTTACGGAAACCAAACTGAGTGTCATCCAGGTATTCCTCGCATTTATTGTAGATACGACCATATATTACCTTCAGAATTTTTTTTAATACGTTTTAACAAACTGACTGTTCTATAATTAGCACATACTTTTGCTGTTGTCTTCCTAGGCAGAGCTATAGACAGTGAATTATACCAACCACTAGGTAGTTGGCTGCTGGTATAAATGGTATTGAAAAAGTAAGTTATAGCCTCTAAAACATTACTATCATTTATAAGCTTGTATATTTCAGTTAAAATTTCATCAGGACCAGTCGCTCTGCCATCTTTTTATGATTGTATGGCTTTCATAACCTCAGAGCGTGTTATTAGGGGTCCGTCGCAGTTAATAATATCGGAAGATGAACCACTCCTATCGTCTTCGAATAGTTCGTCGTAATTTTCACATTCTTTAAGTTTGTCCTCTACTACAAATATTACTTTACCATGTTCATCCTGTAGCAATGCACTTTATTTTTTATTAAAGATACCAGCCGATTATTACACTTTTTTATACATGCTAAACGTGTCGTATCAGTTTTCAAGTTCTTCAATATCATGACACTGTTTGGCTAGATGTTGACTCCTTGCTTCTCGTATTTTACGGTGAATTTCTTTTTGTATGCTGTTGTAAAGTGTTTCGTTATTTTTCGCTAGTCGTTGTTGTTACATCAAATCCAAGCTTCAAGAATGTCTTCTTCTGTCATCCAAGCCTGCTTTTTTAGCTTTTACCTGCCTTGTAAATTTCTCACACAGATTTCTTTTACTGTTGTTACGATTTTATTTAAGCCCTCATCGACGTTTTCACCAATATTTCCCCCAATTAAATTTTTATTCAGTTGTCTTTGAACTGATTCCTTAACTTTCTCGTCCTGTAATTGGGCTGTATCAATATTTTTACGGGACTTCTTTTTGATCACCTTTTTTAATTTTAATTGGGTTACAGCTACTATGGGATTGTGATCAGACCCAATGTCAGTACCTGGATAAGTTTTAAGTGATTTGATTCAGTTTCTAAATTGATTTTTTATTAAAATGAAGTCGATTTGGTTCCTAATACTTTTGCCCTCTGATTCTGCATTTGACTTCCAGGTGTAGAGTCTTCTCGGTGGTAGTTTAGAGTGAGTATTCGATACAATGAAATCGTGTTCTTGACAGCACTGGACTTCCTGCAGGTCCCCTTTCGATTTTCTCCAGGTTCTTACGTCTAGCAAATTTTAAGCGTCCGCTGCCACTTCATTCTTCCACCTTTTCCGTGACCTTCCTTTTCGTCTTGCGTCTTGCATTTTACTATCTAGGACACTTTCTGTTGGAAGCCTTTAAAAAGTTTTTTTTTGTTAATCCTACTAATATTCTAAATGTGTTTGTGTGTATTTTTGTCCTTTAATCACGCAAAAATGGCTAAACTGTTTTTATTTCAATTTGACAAGAAAATAGGTTATGATTCTGATTGAAACATAGGCTACTTTTGTTATGTTTAAGACCCGCGGCTGCGCGCGCGTAAAGGAAATTTCCAATTTTATAAGATAGCAAAACCACCATGACTGCAAATACCAAATACAAATTTAATGTAAATAAATCGAATCCTTGTGACGGTGCTTCATTAATAACCCTGCGCGGTTGATGTAGATTGTATGATTTAAGTAAAATAAAAAGAAATTATTGAAAATAACTTTTTATTTTAATAACCATTTTATTTTAATTTTAGGAGTGTGCCCCAAACCTTCATTGCCGAGTGGAACACAAATACACTGTAAAAACTCGAAAGATCAATATATAGACTGTACAGATCTTGCTGATGGCAGCAGTATAACGTTTACATGTCCAAACGGTTTTATATCAGATAACGGCACACCGATTAGCACAAGGTTGTAGCATTTTATATTTAATGTCTATATCATAATATAGATTCTGTTTAAATTTTTGTAGTACGTTCCTGTTGTTTATTACCAAGAAATTTGTGTTTGTTTTTTTATTAAGGAATTTTAAAACGATCAAAATATTATGGCGTCTAAGTTGAGATTTTTAAATGCGTAATAATGCTGAAAATATTTTTTTTGTCTATGTATACTTTCAAATCCCATAACTTTCTGTTACATTGTCAGGTAAAAATAAAGATTTTTTGTCGTGAAAACGATTTATTTTGTTTACATGAGCCACAAATATTCCGGTTAAGGCTAGGGACGTTAAAATAATCAATAAAATGCGTGTTGTTTTTATGTACATTCAAAATCCCCCAATTGGTACGTGATATTTCTGCTATTTTAAAGTAGAATATTTCAAGTTTTTTTGACAAGATAGGCAGAAAAAAAGAGGTTTTGTTGTCGTTCGTCGATTAGAACGAGGGTCAAGAGGGATATTGTTTGTTTAGGTTTCGTAGACCAAAAACTAGCTTCAAAGACGTGAAAGAAAATTATTTGGCTTTGAATTTGTAGAATGTAACGCAGTAAGGCAGTCAAGCCAGATCGACCGAACGATAAAGTCAAGCAAGAGAAGTCAAGCTAAATCAAGCGAACGATGTAGAGTAAGCAAGAGAAGTCAAATAAGGCAGTCAAGCCAGATCGACCAAACGATAAAGTCAAGCTAGATCAACCGACCAATGTAGAGTTAAGTAAGAGATTTAAGACGACAAAGATGTTTAGGCTTTGAACTTTGAATCGACAGCCGATTCATTTTTTTTTGTATTATGTCTTAAGACCGGTGAAAGGTTATAATACTCTTTGCATTAATGGCATCTTAAACAGAGTATCACCCATAAGATTTGTGCAGTACACCGAGACTGATGAAATTTTGAAAACATTAGTATATAGGATGTCCCATCAGTTTTGTTGTCGTTTGCCAGCTTGATTCCTCCACTAAACCTGTTTTGATCGTCGTTCCTGAGTATGGCAATGGCTTCCTGTTTGAATTTGTCTAATTAGCTTCCAAGTAGCTTCCTCAGAGATGTAGCAAGTTTTTTCTTTTTAAAAGTTAAGTGGCGAAATATGTGAAAAATAAGGTAACAATTAATATATTAATTTTTTCAAGTTATACAGACATATTTAATAATTGCTTTCATTAAAATAAAAGAATTTGTAATAATCAAAGTTTTATATTATGTTAGAGTCGTAGCTAAAAAATGTCATATTTTATTCTGTCTTAGAATGTTTTTGCTCTAATCCATCGTTGTTGTAAAACAATTTTAATTTGATTATTATGTATAAAAGATATTTCATACATAAGGTTAAATTCTACAGTATTTTCATAAAAAGGATATTCATAAGTTTTTTTGATAATCTAAGTTAGCCATATTATAACCTAGGAACCATTTCAAAATTTTTGTAGCAATCTCTTTTGTAAACAATTTATATTATGGTATATAGCATGCTTCTTGAGTAATTTGTATTTTTGAGAACTGTTTGTTTGAGACAAAAATAAACGTTTGATTTGTTTGTCTGATACATTTTGTTTTTTAATTTAGAAAAGTCTCCTAATCCTTGTATGCATTTTTGATTTTAAGAAAGAAGAATTTTTTCTTTCCTTCGGCAAACTGGGATCCTTCGAAGCGACGCCCTTATCTTAAATTGCTAGAAGCTTGTTTTTTTGTTGTATTAATTGCCCAGTAGATTTATGTAAGTATCCCTTTGTTTTCATTTTGTAGATACCCCAATCCGACCAATTTTATTTCAACTTATCCACGACCCAGCTCTCCAACAACCCCCTGAGTGTCGTACGCATCAGTTTCGATTATTTTGTTAGACCTATCTCTACCCCAGTAGTTTCTGTCCCCAATCTTCTACCCCATGTTCTTACCCTGAGGTAAGGAAAATATGTCGTTACAAGGTAAACAATATGTTAATAATATATAAGGTACGTGTACCAAATAAGGCCCGTCTAACAATTAGTACATTTTAATTTATTATACTTAGGAGATACGAGGTCAGGAAAATGTGTAACATGCTTCAGTTCTAGTAATATAAAAATAAAATACAAAAAAAAATTATTTCGTAATTAGTATTATCATAATCAAATAAATTATTAACTTTTGAAGTAGGGCCTTATTAGGAACCCATCTTCCAAATAAGACCCATACCTGGTCCCTAATATGGCCCTCCCCAAAACTTTAATCTATGAAGAGTGTTAATGGCAATAAAACCAATGACAAGATTTACCAAATATTTAATAAACATTAATATAATTAACAAATGATATATTATCACTTCTCGCACCATGGACATACGAAATTCGGCACTTTGTCTTTGAATGTCAACCCTACACATTCTTCATGTACATACATACTTTTTGTATTTTCTGCAATGTCTCATGTCAGCTGTCCTGTCTTCACAGCGTAAATGACAAAACCAGTTAACAGCTTCTGATGTTCCACTGCAGCTTGGAGCACAACCGCCGTTTTCATTACTAAATTTTTCCAGATGTTTTTGTTTCACCGGAATTTCTTTCCTTTCCCAACTGAAACCTCCTTAGAGGCATTATTTACTTTGGCACTCTACTGCTTTTGACTTTCAGCAAATAGTTCCTTAGTTACTAATTGCGCTTGATAGTTTAGTGCCTTCCGTCTAGGAGTCTCGAGTTTCTTTCTCAGCTCTGGAGTTTTCAAAATGTCTTGGAAGGAACAGTCGAATTCATCATGGTTGTCGCTATCGCCATCATCGCCATTAAGATTGACATCACATGAACTATCCCTCACAGAAAATAGCTAACTTTCCGAAAAACGAGAACTGCTGAATTCGCGTCTCCTTTTTCGGGAACTCCTTTGTTCGGAAACTGTTGGAATATTTGATGCTTCAGCAGGTTCGGAAACCATTCGCATATTTTTTTCTGGATCAGGACGCTGTGAAGGATAGGAAGGAGCGAATGTACAGTCAGGAATAGATTCTGGATCAAAAGGATAAATCCCAGTCGCTCGGAATCCAGACATGACATTAACTGGTGACGCAGCTTTTGGCCATACCTTGCTAAATATTTTTTCAAATACCCGTCTACTAATTGCTAAATTTTCTTCTCCTTTATTAGTCGACCAATGTAATTGGATTTCATCGTCCCAATAAAACTCAAATGGTTTAAATACTGACTTGTCCATAGGCTGAAGTTCATGAGTCGTATTGCTAGGCAAGCAGTACAGTCTAATACTGTGACCTTCAGCAACGTCACAAATATCTGGATCTAAATGTGACGATGCTCCATCAAAAATTAGCAGAACTTCTCCTACAGGTTTGTACTTAGCAAAATGATGCAGCCACTTGATAAGGGCCGATATAGTCATTGAGCCCTTGTCTGTCATTTCTACCGCTGTTCCAGGTGGCAAATAATCTTCCCATTCTGGCTTGCGTCGCTTTCCTTTGAAAATGATCATTGGAGGAATAACCTGCCCAATTGCATTTCCACACGATACAATGGATACATTTTCTCCATGTTCAGGAGCAACAAAGTGTAGCCGTTTCTCACCTTTCTTTGCTAAAACTTGAGGAGACTTGTGGAGAGACAGACGACAACCCTTTTCATTAATATTATAGATGAGTTATGGTTTGTCAAATGCCTCTAGTTTGGTCATATTTTTTAATTTCTCGAAATGATCATTGACAATAAACTTATTCAATTTTGCAGCTCTTCCTGGATTCAAATGCTGCGCCTTCCTTCTGGCAACCTCTGGGTTCCTCAGTAGGAATAACTTAAGCCATTTGCGCCCAGCCAAATCTTTTTCTTCGTTAAAAGGATTCTGTAAATTATTTTTTTCGTAGAACTCATATACACTGCGTCGGAGAACTTTAGCTGCCAGTGGATACTCGACTTCAGCAAGTCGAAAAATTCTTTGAGTAAGTTCTCTTTCTTGAGTTTCCTTCAAGCAAGGTTTCCGTGCCAATTTCTTAATTGCTACATCGCTACTTATGTGGTTGCGTAACGTACGCCTGCGGATACCATAAGTTTTACTTGCAGTTCTGACTGACATCCCTTCATTAACAGCTCCCATCGCTTTTTTTAAATCATCCTCACTCCAGGTAGCACGTTTTTTGTTTGAATCCATCTTAAAATAAAAAAATTCAATAAGTAAATACACTCATACTTCTGAATTGTAGACTTATATTTTTATAGTTTTTGAAAAATGAATTAGACGTACAAGTACAATGCCAGATAAACAGAACAAAATAATATAACTTCCATCATAGATTAAAAAAAAAATGTGTTTTAATATTGCTTAATCAATGTAATTTTTTTTATTAGTCTACTTGTGTTATTGAATGTATTTCCTTACATAATTATTATTCTCTGTATTTAAAAGTGTAAGTGATCCCTTAGCACAATAAATAATATTTTTTTCATGCCACTTGGCATGAAAACTGTTTTCAATTTCCAAACTGTATTCAATAATACAGAAAAACAGGTGTATGCCAAATAAGGCCCACCCGCGCCTTGTTTGGAGCACTACGGGTGGGCATTATTAGGAGCCACCAGCTTAACAGTAGTTGAAACTCGAGATCTGTTAATAACTCTGTAAATATACGCCGTTTTAGAAAAATAAAACTACCATATTAAAACACACAATTTCCTGTTCATAAATACCAATTTACTAGAATGACTTTGACTAGAATCATATATATCCGACAGATACTTTCGAGTTAAATATGAGGAAGCATATTCAGAATTAAGAGAAGTTAAAGCTGGAGTTCCACAAGGAAGTGTCCTGGGGCCAGTGCTATACCTGCTCTATACCAGCGATATTCCATCATTAGAACCTAACACAATTGCGACATTTGCAGACGACACATGCATACTAGCAGTCGGACAAAACCACGAGGATGCAGCTACCATGTTACAGAACTCTGTTGAACAAATTAACATCTGGACCAACCGATTGCGTATCAAATTGAATGAAACAAAATCTGTTCATGTCAATTTTACTAACAAAAGAGAACAACATATCCCAGTACATATAAATAGAAACCAAATACCTTATGCAAATACGGCAAAATATTTGGGTATGACATTAGATTCCAAGCTACGTTGGAAAGCACATGTTAAGAAAAAAAAGAAGGAATTAGAAATTAAGTTCAGAAAGATGTACTGGTTGATGGGAAAAAAATCCACTCTGTCTATTTACAACAAATTGCTATTATATAAGCAAGTCCTTAAACCGATATGGACATACGGAATACAGCTATGGGGCTGTACAAAAGAAAGCAACATCCAACATATACAACGATATCAGAATAAAGTATTAAGGAACATCGTTAACGCTCCATGGTACTTTAGAAACTGTGATCTTCATCGAGACCTCCAGATGGATACAGTTATCCAGACAATAAGTAAGTTTGCCGAGAGTCATGAACAGAGGCTCTCCAACCACGTGAACGTCGAGGCCATCAAACTCCTAGACAACGCTAACCAGATAAGAAGACTAAAGAGAACGAAGCCGTTTGATTTAGTGCTATAAGTGAGTGAAAGTGAAAAAGCAGAGTAAAGTGCGGCTAAAGTGTACACGTTAGCTAGTAGTACTATAATGTATTAGAGCCTAAGGAATATTGCTGAATATAACCTTAGATAAGTTTCTTGTAATATTTATATATAGAACTAACTTGCTTATTGATCATAGTGAATGATCAGATAGCAATAGTCATAAGATTCCTGTTGGAGTTTTATTAAACAAAAAAAAAATAAATACCAATTTACAGTACAAAATTAGTTATAACAACATGGATGTAAACAGAGATAACACAAATGAACATAAAAAGCCTTGGGCCTTGTTAGGAACCGAGCCTTATTTGGTACATGTACCTTATCATCATGATGATATAGTTTTGTTGGTTTGATTGTTCAGTGTACTGGTAAACTTGCATTGATGTAAGTAAATTAGTTGGCAAATGATTTGAGTCATAAATTTTTAACTTTTGATTGGAACTCACGATAAAAACAAGTCAGCCGATGGGTGTATAAAATATGGGATCTGGTGGTTCGGGGACAAACATTCTGTTACAAGACGTTAAAATGTAGAAAATTGGAATGTACTATTAAAATTATACATATAGTTAATTGTTCTCATATAGAATTTTTCAAATAAAAATCAATGCACGTCATTAAAGATTTACGACGTCAGAAACTCACAGCGTTGACAAAACATCAGAATAGTTAATAAGTGAGAAATTTTTAAAATGTCATTTATTAAAGAATACAATACACTGGTTACTTGAATTTTTAGAATGAAAAAATAATCACATTTTCAATTTTTTTTTTTTCACTTTTCAATAATGTGGTAAACGAGATACATTTAATCCATACTATTATAAAAGAGCACAAAAAATGTGTAATTTTAAATACATTTTAAAACTCAACTATACTTTGTTTAAAGTTAAGAAAATAACATTACGCTTATGGAGATCAGTGTTGCCAAAATTCTCAGACACTCTCTTTTGCACGGATGTCCAAGATATTCCCTTTGCTTAATTTTTGAATTTTCATTTTCAATTAACACTTAACTGTAAAGTCAGAATAACTACTAAATAAAAGCCTTATTATCATTATGTAGTCAGAGAACGACATAAAATAGCTGACATACGCACATCGTATTATTTTAAGTTGCAATTAGTAATTAGATATACGCATTCCAAGCAGTCAATATTTTCTACTGATTTCTATGATTCATGGCATATCGTATTCTCACCGAAAAACAAATAAACTGTCGTTACTATAATTAAAATAAGATAAAATGAAATTATCTTTTGTAAATACTATTTATCTAATTAAAATCATTTTCCCTACTTTTCATCTCTTGTTTCGAATGGGCACTTTTGGTCAATTACGTTAAAAAACATTAATTTAATTCATGTTTGTGGAAACAAAAATACAAATTATACAACCCTAAATTGTGCTTGTGTGTGTCGTGGCAACGCCGCGTTGGTATCGTCCATAAGAAATACATGGCCCTATCTCCGCAATGTTATTTTCTAAACGTGGAACGTAGTATAGTAAGACACTAAATAAATTAATAAATTTTATTGAATGTTGCATCTAAATTAACAGGATATCATTCGGGAGAGCCTAATAATGACGAGGCCCTCCAAAAGAAATTGTAAGTGTAAACCTAAAGCTAATAGTCAGTCTCGAGGTATAAACTATTTTTACACTAAAATACATAACAAAACATTTTAATACAAAATTATTTACTCTAAATTATTTAACTCACCCCTTTTAGAGCGTTTAATAATAAAAACGGTCAGCCGTTACTTCGTTCTTGTTTAAAAAATCCAATAAACAAGCTATCAGATCTCTACAGACTATTCAGTTGTTTTTGGCATAGGCCAATGACAATACATAGCAATAATTAATTTTTCTTCTCCTTCTTCTTTTTTTTATATAGACATGATTTTTTTTATATATATATAGACACATTTTTTTTATATATCTGTTTTTTAATGTAGCTCCAGTAAGTAGGCGTTCCATCGTTTTAGTGGTCTTCCTACTGATCGTATTTCTATTGAGGAACAGCCTCTTGCCGTGTTTACTACTCTATTTGTTCTCATTCGGATTATATGCTCGTTCCATTCTACTCTTCTATTTCTTACCCAGTTCTTGATGTTCTCCACCTTGCATGTACGTCGTATATTTGTACTTCTAGCTCTGTCCCACAGTGTCTTACGATCAATTTTTCTAAGTGTTTTCATCTCTGCTGTTTCTAACATCCTTGTTAATTATTATTTATAACTGGGAATAAGCCACAATTAAAGATAAAAATACGTTTATTGACGTTTCAATTTCCAATTCGGAAATCGTTCTCAAAATACAAACATTGTATTTTGAGAAATAAAATAGCTTCAGAACATCCTTGTTGTTCTCTCTGTATCAGGTCTTGTTTCTGACGCGTATGTCATTATTGGTCCGATGACTGTTTTGTAAATTTTGCCTTTCGTTTCTTTCCCGATATTTTTATTTCTCCATATTGTTTTATTTAGGCAGCCTAGCCTGTGTTTTTAAAGCTATTAAGCTAAATTTAATTTGTATTTATAAATATTTTATTAATATATAATATATTGTAAATCAAATTGTGTAAAACATCAAAACATAAACCAAATTTTTAATCTAAAAAGGCGGCAACACTGTAAATAATTTTGCCAAACCCTAAACTGTCATTTAAGTTTGAAGTATTTCCGTATCAGTGACGTACAAATTTTTAATCTATTTAATTAAAATTATTATTATGTGGAGTATTAAACTTAAACAGTTATTTTATAAAATTGATATTATGAATCATAAAAAATATTTTTGGTAATTTAATAGAACAACATTTTAGGTACTGTACAAATGGAGCCTATGGTAATTCTGTACCTTCTTGTTCAGAAATTAAACAAAAGACTGTGTACGTATCACCAAAAACCTTAATTAATTCAACGACGCCAGACTCTAATTCAACTAATAAAGATGCAAAAAAAGTGATATGTACTTACGCGAGCTCGATGGCATATAATGGCTCATATCCAGAAAATGTTGAGCCTAGATTATGCACTCATCTAATTTACCAATTTATTGAACTTAGTGAAAACGGAGATTTGGATCTGAAGGAAAAGGGAAAAGGTAAAGTATAAGACAAGTAAGTTCTACAATATCACCAGCAGAAATAAATTATCGTCAGACCACATATTATCAATGATGCCATACAGAAAACACGATACTGAAAAGTCGTACCTATTTTAGTTACTACTAAATTCTTATCAAAACTTAGCTTTAACAGGTTGGCTACCAATGATACTGTGATAAATCTGAGTTGTGATACCATATGTATCATCGGTGATCAGCTTTCTTGGTTAATTTTTAGACAATGTGTATCACCCGTGATACTTTGCAGGGTATAGTTTAAATGACCATTAATATTGTTGGTATATAAAATCGAGTAAATGAATTATGCCGGTGATTATGTAAGTGAACCTAATAGCATGTCGGAAAGCATGCCGTGGGCATCACGGATAATTCATCTTAGTCAAGTTACAAAAGTAATAAAAAAATAGCAAGATTTGATATACTATTTGATTTGATAAGTTTACTATTATTAAAACAATCATGCCTTATTTGCTGAATATTTTTTTTTTATTTTGGTCTGATGGCCTTGGCCGAGCCAATTAGCCAGACAAATTTAAAGACAAACAATTTTTACAATCAGAGGAATTTTTTCTGAAATTTTTTTTAAATAAACATACAATCATCCGTAGAATTTAATGTAAAATTTATAATAAATTACAATTTTTTTAAGATATATTTTGACACATAAAAATATTATCTTAGTGTATTTTTGAAAAACATTCCAAGCATAGCACCGGAGCATTTGGACAGCTATTATAAATAGTAAAAACCAGTTTTCTCTTTTTTCGATTAGTGTTTGTTTTTTCATTTCTTTTAGTACATGTTTGATTTTGTTGATATTTTTCTCGCTGTCTGCAATATCGGTCAGCAATATCATCACAAGTGCCTGTCTAAAATCGGCTATTTAAATTTTGTCGTTTTTAAAAAACGTGATATTCGCCATAAGATAAGGGAATTGATTACTGACGTTCCAAACAGATATTCAAATGCAACATGACATTGAGCCATTTGATTTGACCCATCAATACCCATTTTAAACTTGTTGTATAATACAAAAGCTTAAGGTTTATAAACTGATTCTCCTTAACGTTTTTTTTGTGTCTATCTACAATATTTAGTCTGTATCTCGTACTCATAAACCCAACACTCTGTTATCTTACCAGTTTCGAATATACCTACCCACTATTACTTTTTTTTCCCTTGATGTTTCCATTTTTCATTTTTTTTCATCCAAAATTTCTCTTGGTACCTCTTTCACATATTTTCGAAATGTACCAACTTTGTGGATGTTTTCTTTCTGTTTGGGAAAGTATGTGCGCATTCATTTTATATTTTTACAGTTAATATTTTTTCTGTTACGGTACTGTAATATGACCTGATTTGGGTGCTGTAATTTAAAGATTTTTTTAAAATATATTATTTCCTGTGAGTTCGTAAAACTTAAACTGGCTCTCATTTATCATGTTAAAGTACGCAGAATTGGGCTTTTTTCTTTGTATTCTATGTCAGAAAGATTGAAAACAATGGTTGATTTATGGCATGCCCGGCCTACGAGCTGGTGACCACCCCACAGTTAGAGGCTGGCTTGTGCCCGAAACGCTCTCAAACCCTCAAGATTGGCACTTCTTCGTCAGACAACGATCGATCGACACGCATCTAGTTCCGGACGGTTCTCGTGCACAGCCTCGGGCGACGCGACGCTAGCGTCGATACCACTGACCAACTCTTCAGCCTGGTACGAAATCATCAGTAGAACCACAGGGTAAGCCTGTGGTTCTACCTATAATTCTTTGTACAAAACATTGAGAATGAGTAAACCAGTTGATTTCATAACTTATTGACAATTTATAGTTGCTATTTTCACCAATTTTATGTACCAACCAAATATTGCATTTTTCGTTATAATTATTTATCTGATATAATTTAACCAGCGACCTCTCAAGTTTAATTCTAAAAACTTTCTAAAAGTAAATCTCCAAACTCTAAATTGTTAATTAATAACAATTATCTGCTAATAAAGATATCACCACAATCAAAATAATCATTCATCAAATTTAAAACGTATTTCGTCTTCGTCCCGCAGTAACCGTGTTACTGTTTCCTTTATAAATTCTTACATTTACAACTTTTGTCACATAACTTAAAAGATTTTACATCATATTTTAAAGCGTTAAAACCTTTAGTTTTTAGTCAACGCATCTGTGAAAGGTTTTATTTTGTAAAGACGATGATCTTTATTTGCCATTGCGTTATCAGTGAAATAAATAAACCGTAGTATGGCCTGGAATCCATTTCTATACAAAAATTTTCGCGACTTATATTTTTGGTAATTTAGCTACTCCCATATATATATATATATATATATATATATATATATATATATATATATATATCAAAATGGCATAGAACTTTTCGATTTTTTCAGACATGTCATTCTACTTCGGTTTGTACTTTTTAACATTTTTGTTAGTTTCGAAGACAATAATTTTTAAAATAGCCGAATCAACAATAAGTTTGAAAATATCCACATGTCGTAAATGGCATGGAACATTTATTCTGCCTGCATTAGTAAAAGTAAATTGTTTCAAAGATGACCTATCTACATAAATCCACAAAATTACAGTCGATTGATTGACATTTTCATTCATCATCATCATCATCATTCAATCTTCGCTTATCCACTGCTGGACATAGATCTCCCTCATAATTTTCTTGCATCATCATCTTGGTCTCCATTCCAGTATCATCTACTCCTGTTCTTTGTTGTAGCTGGCGATTTGGGATCTTGTCTCGTAGTGAAACGCCCAACATAGCACGCTCCATGTTCTCCTTGTCACGGTCAACGTTTCCGCATCGTAAGTCAACACTGGCAAAACACACTGATTAAAAAAAAAGACATTTTCGTTACTTATTCCTAAATCTGAAGTGTGTGGTAGTTTCAGACTCTGCTTCAGACTCGGCTTCCGATTAAGAGCTGGGTTCGTATTCCGATTACAAAAAGGGAAATGGTTCCTCGTCACTACTTTCTAAGTTTTGGTTTTTACAACGGTATTGCTTTGTTGGTCTACTAGTACTTATACCGTCATGTTCCTTATCTTGTTGTTATTCTTTGTCACTAAAAAAATTATTACAAAAGGTAAGAGAGGCCCTGGACGTAGACATATATCCTGGCTGGTCAATCTTAGGAAGTGGACTGGTCTAACGTCATCTGATTTATTTCCAGCTGCTGTGAATAGAGTAAGATGATTCACTCTAGACATCTCTAGAAGATAGGCATATTTAGAAGAAGAATTTTTTTAACCGTCTGCTTCCAGCCTATTGAAGTAAATTTTGTTCATTTTTATGATCCATATTTTACAATATAAACACTAGAAAATAACCTAGATATACTTATACTATAAAATAAATGAATAACTAATTAAAATACGAAAACGATATTGTTCTGGTTCCTTTTTATACCATGTCAATCCCTGGTGATCACCAGCTAGTCCAACCTAAAAGTTGAAAAAAGTTGGGATGAATCGGAGAATAAATTTATAGCCAAAGTGTGTTTGGTACCAGACATAAACCTATGCAAATTTATGCTGGTATAACAGTGACTGAAGCCTGGGTAGTACCCGCGATTCATACGAAAGCCAGCCTGTTTTAAAATCGTAATTCCTGGCAGATATTCTCTGTTAAAAAAAATGAACCCATAGTTCACATCACACTAAAAGCAAGCAGAGCTATTGTAATCCAGATTGTAATTGTTATCCATTTTTCCATTTTTTCTCCATCCAGTTCCATTTTGTTATTTTCTTGTTCACTGTGACGATCACTCCGAGTTTTCTACTGCAAATTGGATTTTCACATTGTAGAGTAATGTGTGCTATAGTGTATCAAATTTCATTGTCTAGCTATTTTGTTTCTTGAATTGGCGCAATTTTCATTTATATTTAGCTCATTTAAATGGTTTTTCTGTACACCAAGTTTATTAAAGGTTTTAATATTCCATGATATCTCGAATTGCATATTTTGTTGTCTTAGTTGTAACTTCTCAATTTGTCGTATACTCCGACGTTGATCTGTATTTTCGTAGCAATAGTTTTTTTTTCCAAAGATAAGTGGTTGGAACAGAGCCCAACTTTCTTTCAGGAAGACCATTTGAAAAATTGTAATAGGTATAGTCTTTGTGGCAACTGCTGATACGAGGTGGTAACGTGGTAACAACGATAATTCTTTTGTGTTTAATATGCAGTAATTTTTTAAAATTTATTCTTTGAATCCAAAATTTTAGATTTACTTAAAATGACGAGGGATTTAAAAACGAAAAATAAGAATTTGAAAGTACTAATTAGCGTAGGTGGCAACAACGCTACTGACTCACCTTTAAAAAGTCTTTCCATGGATAACAAAAAAGTAGAGTCTTTTATTTCTAGTGCCACCAATATAATACAGACCTACAGTTTGGATGGATTGGATTTTTACTGGATATTCCCAGAACTCGATGAAAAGGTATTTCATTTTAATTTTTAATTTCATTTGATTTTACCCTTCTGTCAGTAGCGGTATACGCTTGTTTTAGACAAGAAGGCGTATATGATTGTATTCATTTTGACACAAATTTTACAGGATTATGTTAGCCAAATGTGCACTTGCTGTAAGTTTTGCTTTGTATAGTGTCGACTAAAATGGACACGTCTGCAATTTTTCAATTTTCTCGTGATGTACTGTGATACATCAAAATTTTTATTGTTGTTTATAAAAAAAGTTTATGAGTTTTTGTTAAATTAACAACTACAAGGTAATTACAACAACAAATTTCTATTTTTCCAAAAAATCAAGTATTTAATGACAAAACCGTGTAATGTTATGTAGAAAGCTGTAATGTAATGTAGAAAGCTTCCCCAGCAGGAATTTTTGGAAGTGAACGGTCAGAACCTCCACTTCATCGTTATGCTTACACAATCTGGTTTTCTCCTTCAGCTCCTTGAAAAACAAATCGGTCTGAATTTCATGCAACTTCTTTTCCGCTGCTAAAACTTTTCGTTCATTTTCGTCGAGGGTCACATCTTTGAGTTTGATATCTAAGACATCATATTTTTGCACGTATCTGATCGAGGTAAGCCAAACCTGTAGTTAAAGTTTTCTTTAAAGTGTCGATAGTAGAAGTCATAGGAAATTTGGATTTATATTTAGGATTGCTGACACTTTTTAGTTCGTAAATTTCCAAAGAGAGTTAATTCATCTTTTTTACATTTAAATCTGGAGATAAATAGAATCGACGGGATTTGTTTCTACTATAATGCGATTCACGCCTTGGAAAGCCCTGGATGTGCATATTCAAATTTTTGAGTGTTTCTTTAGATTTTCGGTTGAGTCTATTTTTATGCTTTCCTTTGTTACTAGGTGGCGCTGCAATATCTCTGTCACGAAAAGTTTGAGCAACGAGATCTACACGTTTCCTTGATATGCCTTAGATTAAACCAAAAGCATATTTACAAACCCGTTTGGATGGCTTACCCAGCTTTATAAAGTATTTGTGGGAATAAGTGCGTTGTTACCTTTTATTAGTCTTTTTTCGAGTTCTTTGAATAGTAATAGTTTGAATCAACACTCCCAAATAGGTATTTTGCAAATTTTTGTCGCCTATTTTGTATGACAACTTTTCTTGTTTCTTCGTCCACATTCTGAAAACACTTGTACCTGTAGTTGCAATATAATCCAGTTAATCTCGGTCTCTACTGTATTTCTTTTCAGTTCGTATACATTGTGTAAAAGCTAAATGGAATAAATTCATTATTTAGGTTACTGTACATATTTATAAAATACCCCGAAACACGTCAAATTTAAATTATAACTTGACATTCTTTAACGTGAAAATGCAACCCCTACCTTCAACCCGCTTAGATTGACAGGTACAACATCCCAAATTTTAAAATAGGTAGTATAGGCTTGTGATATATCGTTTGAAAGGTATTTTCATTCTTCATTCAAAAATGTTGTTGCTTTCAAGTTTATTAAAATTAATTAAGATAAAATAAATTAAAATAATGTGGTTACCGAAATTCGCTAAAATAATATCAAAAACTAAAATGCAATGCAAAACGTAATAAAATGTAGAACACGAAAAAGAACTATGAATGTTAATGAAGTAGATGTTTAAAATGTTCACCGCGAACGTCTTGGCAACATCCTAATCTCAAATAAAACTGTCTTCAAACATTATTTAACATAACAGGTGTGATCGACCTAATCGCAAGCGTTATTCGTTCTTTTAAGTCATTTAAATCAGAAGGTTTAGTTTTGTGCACATTTCTCTTCATATATCCCCATAAAAAGAAATCTAATAATGTAAGATCAGGTGATCGCGCTGGCCATTCAATCAATCCTCGCCTCCCTATCCACCGATTGGGAAATATTGTATCGAGGTACTGCCGAATATTAAGTTGGTAATGTGATGGTGCTCCATCCTATTGAAACCATATCGTATTCGCTGGAACTTGAGGGTTTCCTGGATCAGGAAATAAATTTGCCAACGTTAGAATGACATGATTTTGAACTAGTGCCAAATATTTGTTGCCATTCAAGTTGCCCTCAATGAAAAAGGGACCAATGATATTGTTTCCTACAATCCCTGCTCAAACATTAACCTTTTGAGGGTATTGAGTGTATTCTTTTCTCATCCAGTGAGGATTTTTTGTGGGTCAGTAGCGGCAATTTTGCCGATTAGCATGACCGTTAAGTGAAAAAGTACACTCATCAGAAAATTTAACGTCTTCTAATTGGATAATATTGTTATCCAACATGTCCATCATTTGCTCACAAAAAAAAGTTCTTCTATCAAAATCGTCTTCCATGAGCTCCTGAGTAGGTATCATCTTATAGGGATGCAATTTATTTTCTTTTAATATGTTTACTATCGATGTATGGCTAACATTGAATGTAGTGGATGAATCTAATTTGAGTTTATCACTCAGTGCATTGGCAGCTGCTTTTTTATCTGCCTATATACCCAAACTTGCGAAACAGCTTCTCTATTTTAATTATTGTTCCTTGGGATATAGGCGGTGAATTAGGACATTTCTCATAAAATAGGCGAGTTACTTCCTGTTATGTTCGGGTGTTATCTCCGTAACCAATCATTTGTAAAACTGTTATTTTATATATTTCCGTTAATATAACCATTTTGTCGGTCAGATAGCTCAGCGGGCTGTGCGGCTGCCTCTCATTCGCTACACTGTCGAATGGTTCAGTGGATGTGGGATCGAGCCCCAGCTCGGTGTACAGAAAACAAAAAGTCTAACGCAGCAGTTGAAAATTCTAGATGAATCTGCGGCTTAGACTAGAATATGCTGGGATCTGATCGGCCTATGGTGGAGCAGTACGGCAAGAGATAAGGGCTTGCGTCTCGGCGATACTCCTCCATAGATCCCTACCGGACGGGCGTAACGCCTAAAAAGCCGGATATATATATATATATATATATATATATATATATATATATATATATATATATATAATATATATATATATATATATATATATATAATCTAACCATTTTTCAGAATTGAATTGAACAAACTTTTTACTTAAATTAAAATACTGACAACTTAAATAAAACAATTGACTAATGCGTGTTAAAATAACGTTGCCACTTAAATTCTTTTAAGTTTTTTAATGGTTACCATCTAAAAACCACATTGCTATGGTTTTTGTTGACTTTCTTATTATCAAGACCTAAACGGGAAATAAGTTTTGAGTATATTTTAGCGAATTTCGGTAACCACAGGATTTTAATTTATTTTATCTTAATTAATCTTAATAAACTTGAAAGCGACAACATTTTTGAATGAAGAATGAAAATACCTTTCAAACGATATATCACAAGCCTATACTTCCTATTTTAAAAACTAGGGGTTGTATCTGTCATTCTAAGGGGTTGAAGGTAGGGGTTGCATCTTCGTGTTAAAGAATGTCAAGTTATAATTTAAATTTGACGTGTTTCGAGATTTTTTATAAATATATACAGTAACCTAAATAATGAATTTATTCCATTTGGCTTTTACACACTGTATATTTTCCCTTCTGCAATAGCTTTTTTTTTCATATTTTTTTCCAGAGCGTGGAGATGGCACTTTTTCTACTTTTAGTTAAGGTATGTTTCTTCTTTGGATGCTTCCACCTAGCTGAAGGTTCTGCGACATTACTATTAAAACAACTTTCATCAGAGTTTGTAGGTTAAAAGTCTGATACACTAGCACTAAACGGATCTGACTTGATTTCACTTATTTTTACACGACGTTAAAGTTTTACACAACCAATTAAACCGCATGAAAACGCACGACACGCAGTAATGATAGCGAGTAACAAGTCAAAACAAATCAGCTGCTCTGCCGGCCCAGCGCCAACAGAAGATGACCTTGCATTATACGAAAATCACGGAACATTCACAATCGATTCGTCCAAAAAGGAGGCAGGTCCGGAGCTGCACCCTTCTTGCACCAAATGAGTGATGAGGCAGATCCATAAACACGTATAATTCCTTTATTCATTATCGGATCCGCATCGTTCTTATACCAGTCAATCCGCTAATTTTGTTTAATTAGGGCATATGTTTTCACCCAAAACGGTCTCAATATAGAGCTGCATCCTTCTTACAACAAACTTCTCAATGATCAGCCGTCTATGCATTTGTTCAGTACAGAACTCTTTGGAAAGAGATTTGAAAAAGACCAGTCGTTTTAGATTTTCTTTAGTACTATGTAAGTATTAAAAAATTTTAAATTTTAGGCTAGATACGTTAATCTGTTGGACGAAATTAAACGTAGGTTCGAATATCACGGATGGCTATTGAGTGTTACTGTATATCCTGTACTGGAAAAAACTGGATACGATCTTCAAGAAATTAATAGGTAAATATGTTAGCTCTATGACAAACGGTTTTTTAAATTCTGACAATCAATTACCTGTCAAAAGTTAAGCTAATATTTAAATAAAACGTTTCTCACAAATTTGTTGGTTATTTTCAGACTAAATTCAACACAATGGATTTAGTAAACGCATTTTTTATTACAAAGAAAACTCAGTACACTATTATGAAAATAATTAAACTGAACAAATTGTCAATTGTTCCTTCTTATGAATATATGTAAAATATAGATGCGATCGTCACTAAATTAGCAACACGATATAATTTAAAGACTAGATATACTCGACGAGGCGAGTCCGTTATACAGCATAAAAAATTGTTAACCTTGGTTGTTAATAAGTTCAATATTTTATATTAAATAATATTAATTAAAAATATTAATTAACTATTTTAAACTATACTCAAATTTTATTTTTAGACATCCTATTTAGTTTATATAATAATTAAATTTACTATCACATGATATTAATTTATATTATACTATTAATTTAATATTTAGTCAGACTTTGCGCAGTATTTTTAATATATTATGCTAAATATAACAAACTAGCAACGAAGGAAACTAACGGATCTCACAAAATATTTGTAGTTTGTAATCAATTCCCTCTATTAAAAATTTTCGTCTGTATTTTGTAAGTAATTTTTCGTGTAGCTTTTAATTAAAACCTGCTTAGAGTAAATATATTATGACGACTAGAAACGAATTGATTGAGAGTAGTGAATCGATGTCATGAACCACCATTTTGTGACACTCCCCGTGACGCCTTCTCGTGGCACTCTAGTTTCGCGACGTTCGTCTCAGTATTTTTTAGAAATTTCGCTTTAAATAATAAAATAACTTTATTTAATACGTTACAATATAATGGTGTAAGATTTAATTTACTTATTTCTTAATAAATTTCTTCGATTCTATGCAGTTTCGTGTCAACATTCTTGCGTCTGTCAATATCACCTTTCTTTTTTTCAACATCTTTTCGATTACTTTATTCCATGTCTTTCTTGGTCTTTTGGCCCTTTTTTTTTGTTTTCCAAAATTTTTTATTCTCACACTCTTCCCCCTGTTGGTAATGGACAATTCTTAAACAATTCTTTTTTCTGATTTACGGTGATACGTATGATTATTTGTAATTTTTTCTTAATAATATAGTTAATTTTGTTTTAAAGCAACGATAAGTATAACGATTTTAGTTGTTTGTGGGTGGCAAGACCATTATTCTGGAACGATGTTTCTGGACTTGTTGTATTCTTGTTCTACACCCATATTTCTTTCCATCACATTTAGTTCCCTTTCTAATTTAGATTGAAAAGGATGTTTAATACTTAGTTGGAAACAAAGGTGTAATTTATATCTCTCTGTTTTGTACTGTGTAGTATTATCATCGAGTATTATTTACCTCGCTTTTGGGTATTCTGTTTGTAATATTCTTTAAAGGGACACAAAAGATTAACTAAAAGAAAGTAGTGATCTGTTTCACGGTTAGATCCTCTTTTTACTCTGGTACTTAAATTTTAATTTTTCTCTCATTATTATATAGTCTATGATCGACTTTTGTTGGAGTGAAGGTCGTTTCCAAGTGGATTTATGAATATCTTTATATTGTAATTGGGTATTAATTATTTTTAACCCAAAAAGTTGACAGAACTCAATTAAGCTGTCCCCTGAACCATTTTTAACCATTTCTCCGTGCCGTCCCACCACGTCATCGTCTATTTGAAAACCTACTGTGGCATTTAGTTCTCCTAAAAATGTTATTTTTTGATGACTTTTTATTTTATCACAAATGTTTGATAACTCTTCATAAACAAAATCTTTAACTTGTTAATTTGAATCGTGTGTTGGCTTATAGACCCCAACAACTATTGTTTTGATGCCAATGTGACAGTTATTGTCAGAATTCTTTTAGAGATGTACGCATAGTCTTTTATATATTTTTTAACGATTTTTTTATAAGAATTAAGAACCCTGATTTAGCCTGTACATGTTTCTCTACTCCTGACTATATATGAACGTAGCCTTTAATCGGTTCATTTCCCTTGGCCTTTCTTTTTAGTTTCAGAGAGCACTATGATGTACATTTTTTGCTTCATTATTTCAGTTAAAATTTTCATTGTCTTGTGAGTGATGCCTTGAGTGTTCCAATTACCAATTTTCAAAGTCGTCTTCGTTGCCGGGTGTCGTCGTCGTAAGTTCCATCCATATTCCGAGGCTCGGCGTTAGAATTTTTAGTCAAAAGAGTTTTTTCCTGATGATGAGGGACTTTGCCATTGCTCCAACCCCCAAGCTTGGAGGACCAGGATTTTTTGTTGGGGTTTCTTGCCTTAGTCAACATATTCCAGTTTTAAGGCGCCAGAAACTCGTCTTTTACCCTTACTCCGCTGCTATATAACGCACATCCATTGTACGCCATATACCGCGTGGTCACATGACATATATGTTTTCGAGGACGTGAGAGTAGGATTAATTACTTATTATTAATAGTTTAAATTGTAAACAACACAGATTTGGCATTTTCCTGAATTTATATCAAAAGAAGTTCTATTGGTTTTTAATAGATGTTGCTGTAGTATCTGGTGCACATTACTTTTAAAATAATTACTAATATGACATAGAGATTTTGATTCATTTAGAGCTTACCACAGGTTTACTCTAATGAGTCCTGCTATGAAGAAATACGTATAGGCGAATGGTGGTGCTCTATATTGAAATTAAATTTTAACTGTCTTTCGTAATTATCTTCCACTTTTACTAGCAGATGAATTTTGTTAAACGACTTTATATACATATATACATATATATATATATATATATATATATATATATATATATATATATATATATACACATATATATATATATATACACATATATATATATATATATATATATATATATATATATATATATATATATATATATATATATATATATTCATAGGTTGACACATCCTTCTCACCGAAGGGATTCGCTTAGCCTTCTTAAATCCGTTACAGAATTCTTATCCATTATTTGTAATCAATAAATTTCTGTTTTGAATAGTTAGAAGAACCACAATGGTTCTTCTTCCCCTTCACGTTACTACTCTCTTCCTTATTTCCCTCATCTGACTGAGAAACTCGCAAAACTCCTAACATCTACACCAATTAAAATTGGAGTTAAAAATGTCAGATCAGTTGGTAAACTTTTCTCTAAAACTAAAACCCCTTTAAACCCGTTGGAAAAGATCAATGTGGTTTACAACATACCCTGTATGGATTGTAACCTATGTTACATTGGCCAGACTCGTAGATCGCTTAAAGGTCGACTAATTTCTCACAAGAGTGATATTACATGCCATAAACATTCCAGTGCCAGCACAACACAAATTCTTACTTCTGACCACCGACCTGATTATGAACATGTCTAAATTCTCTGCAAAGAAAGCTACCATTTCAAGAGAACCTTCCTTGAAATGTGCCACATTTTCCTCAATACTTCCACTATGAATAAACGTACGGACATCGACAATCTCAGTTTGGTGTACCATTCTCTTCTCTCCAATATCAAATGAAAAATTTTCGACGTTATTTTCGTCATCCAGACTCTCTCATTGCCATTTGCTTTTGATCGTTTATTACCATATCCACTTATTCTTATTTTCAACCTTTTACATCCCTTACTGATTCATACCTAATTACATAAACGCTCTCTTATAGACAATGCATATTTTCCCTCCTTGACCAATCGTCACTCTAAACTCCCGATTCCAACCTATCTTCACTACATATTGGTTTTGTAGACATTTCTACTTAACAATCTATTTGCTTCAGTGTTCTTTGCGTTGTTAGGTTTGCGTTTCTGTGTATTGCGCCTGCTCGTCTCATTCTCCCACAGTAAGTTGGATCAACTCAGAACTAATAAATCCACACATTTTACTGCAATGAAAATGCCGGCAATTTGACTTTCGTTTTTCGAGTTTGAATCCGTTAGATGGAAATGCGCCCTAAAGTGAAGTTCAAAATTTGTTTGTTATAACAATTCAGCTCTGTGCCAGTGCCTTTTAGTCACTTTGTTATTTTATTTCTACATTTGACTGTTGTAAGTTAGTTTTTTACGTGTAATGTTGACGAGTTTTTTAGTAAGCTTGGTAGTAGTTTTTTATTCTATCGTTCATTTGTAAATCAAACTTTTTCGCTTTGAAAAACACGAAGGCTACTACACAGAAACTTTCAAGCTACAATTTTACCAACAATTTAATGTTTTGACCACAGTTACCAAAGGGAATGGTGTGTTTCTTTAACACCTTTTATTCTTCACTCTACATTCGTAAGTTAATTTTCCATGTTTTTGTATAATATTACCTACCATCATTGTAATATTTTTTAGATTTAAACTGATGAAGCTTGTGAACACCACAAGCGAAACGTCTTCAAATATAAGAATGGAACTGTGATTTCCTTTTATTATTTCTCCTTTGACCGATATCCTCGTTGATCAAAAGAATTTTTCTTTTGAAACTTACTGCATTGTATATATATATATATATATATATATATATATATATATATATATATATATCACACTATACAATAAATATATTTGAATTTTGTTTTCAGGATAGTAGACTGGGTAACTATTAAGTCACTTGATATCTATGGAACTTGGCTTTCTTATATTGGGAACAGCTCTATATATAATTTTTCCATGGATAACTACTGGGATGAAGAGCATTTTAAAAAGGATACAATTGTAAAAAGCTGGCTTAATGCAGGTCTATCTAAAAAGAAATTGATTATGGGAGTTGAATTTTATGGAATCAGTTTTAGAGTAAAAAATAAAAATCAAACTGATGTAGAAGATCCAATTGAAATAGGCAGATTTAGATATTATGAGGTTAGTCGTAAAAATAAAAATTATTTTAACTCTTTTTTCAGGATTATAGTATGTTTCCAGAAATGATTCTCTTTTATTTTTAAAACCTTTCCACAATTCTTGATCTTCCGTTAAAATCGCTATAAAGTAGCACGTTCTTTCTATGTGCTTTATTTAGTACCTATATTAATTTGAATGTAAAAAGGTGGTAGAAATGTAGATTTGTATTATAGATGCATCTTTTATTATCTCAGGTACAGTTTAACATATTTATCTGAAACCGCCAATAAGAGAAACGATATAGACGGTCGTTGATGCGGCGTTGCCTAATCGATTATTGTTTTAGAGCTTTGCTTTTGAATTGTTAAAATAATACTCCATAATTACTGTATTTAATGGTTTTATAATATATTCATTATTAGGAAAATAATAACAAAGTTAAAATGTTTGAGAAAATTGATAAAATATATTATTAGGTGAAGTTATTAGTCATAATCATTAAAATGACGATCATCTATTAAATTAGAAAACTGAATTGCTGAAAACTTACTTTAAAACAAAGTAATTATTTTACTAAAACATTTTAATAAAAAATATTTTCACCGCTTAGTTTTTATATAAAAACTGTACAAACAACTACAAAGTATGATACTGTAAGAGAAAAAAATGTTTTCCATTTCCTTTAATTTTATTATTGAGCAGTTTCTCGAGATAATTAAAAAATCACTTCTAGTTTACTAATGCAGCGGAAAACATTCTTAAGCAAACAATATAGGAATCAGAAGTAAATAAAATTGTTCACATTACCACCTTCGACCTCCAACAGGCTGTGTCCACTGCAAAATTGACTGCTGGACCTTGGTCGCTATAATTTTAGTATCCATTGCTACAATTAGCATGAAGAAGGGTATTTTTTTCCTTTGGCACTAAGGAATTGCCAAACGAGGGTCGTATGAAGTTGCCAGTTGCCTAAACAAGTATTTTGAATAATTTGATGTCCGCGGAAAGACACGTTATGCCATATCAGACAACAGTTGTGGCCAAAATAAAAATTGAAAAGTTGTGGGATTTTGGCTACGTCTATTATCTTCTGGTAGATTAAAAAAAATTTTTTTCGCATTTTTCCACAGGTAGATCATACTATGTTACCTAGTGATAGGGATATTACCCTAAAAACATGCAAAAATGAATTGTCGTCTAGTGATTGGAAATATATTCTAAAGAAAGCCAAAAAGAAAAATCCTTTCGCTGTAATCGTTGCAACTAGTCTAAACAGAAAGAACATGTTCAATTTTTCCTCCAAACTAATTTTGACATAAGCAACAGTGTTAAGTTGGAATTTAATATTAAAAATCCTTATGTCATGCAAGCTTATGAAACATATTCAGGACTTCCCAAACGATCAACTTACAAGGAAAACAGGGTTAGACTAATCTTTCAATATATTTTATTATGGAATTAATGATAAAGTATGCAGAAGCTTTGCCCCTTGAAGAGTCGAAACTGGCACATGTAATGTCTTGTCTTTAGTGGATTCGTCCAATTTATCATCCGTTTTAGCATTTACTTAATTCAAAGTAAATATTCTATTATTCCTTATTTGTAAGTTCGTTTGTTCAATATATTACTTACTGATCATTTGCATTTAATATTTATATATAAATTATAGTTATATAAAACTTTTCTTTATAAACAGCATGAAAAACCTGTTAGTGACATTTTTCTTAAGTTTTCTTTCGATAATTTGTTAAAAAAATAAATATGGTAATGGCTATTGTTGTAAAATGAGTATGTATGATTTCCGTTCTATTTATTTTCGTGTTAACATATCGTTGGTCTAGCGCACAGAGGTGCTAAGTGAAAAATAGCTAATTCGAGTAATTGCAAAAACAAAGTTTGTAACATTATATAAAGTCAAATAAGTTTTGTTTGTATTGACGGCATAGAGCATCGCTGTGGCAACGTTTTTATTTTTGTTTTGACTGCCGCATGTTTCAGAAAAGGAAGCTACGTGACTTACAGTTTTGGGTAGGTCAAGTAGATATTTAAGCATACATGACCCAATTTCAGAACTACCTTTGCTATCATGAGTTTCATCCCAGACATAGCAATAACCGTCTTGAGAAGATCCATTATAAATTGTAAAATTGTAAACATTTAGATGGCTCTTGTAATATATCTGGGAATCACCAGCAAACGTAACGGGTAGAATAGCTTCCATATCGAATGTTATTGCTCTAAATGTTTTTCCCAACGTGGCTGCTGCCGTTTTTTTGTAGTCTTCTTTCATATCCATCGACTGTTTTTCGGTTCTTTTATGCTTTTCATACTCTTCTCTTAAAGGCAAGCGCTAGTTCAAAATCATGAAAAATACTTTGGAACACAAAACTTTGAGACCGGACTTAAACTATTAGAAGTGCAAAAGTCTTGATATAATTGGTATATGATGGAAATATTTAAATCTTCATTTAGATAGTTTTTGGTTGAATCACGTCTGCAGTAATACGACTCAATTCTTGAAAATGAGTTAACATGATCCTTAACTTGCTGCCGTTGTATCTCAGCAGTTGAATTGTGGGGTTTGCTATTCTTTCTTTTATCATAGCCGACAAAAATTTCCTTATACATCATTCCTTCAACACACTTCTTGACGACTTTACGAGATATAGCAAACATGGCTGTAAAAAACTTGAGGCAGACTCGATGGCTTTGCCAATAGTTATCTATTAAATGATATAACCTTGACTTTTCTCGATTTTTTGTTATGGGAGTTTGTTTGCTTCTAGATACATTCACTATTTGTATCAAAGAACTCAACAGCGTTTTTTGGCTCGTATAGTCTGCTAAGCTGTAGTAATCTGCACACAGTTGTGCCCTTTGCTCTTCAGAAAATAGTTTTTGACATTTAAACCTGCACTTAGAGCAATCTGTTGGAAGAGAACTTTTTTCTGTAATTTCCTTTCCGTAGCGATTAATGTATTTTGTAGCACTAATCCTTAACTCTTTCACAACTGATCCTTTCCATTCCTTTTTCTTGGCCTTTCTGCAACGACGTTTTTTTGTTTTTTTTTTCATTACCTGGTACTCCTTCAGTAGTTTTTTTCCAATGCTAGAGTTATTGTGGCAACTGAAATAAATAATTTTTTTTAAGTAAAACAAGATGGTTTTACATTCGACACCTTACTATACCTTTAAGCTCTTTTCCTACATCATCTAACGCCATCTCCAGTATCTTCTACGATCTGGACGCCATAATTATAATTACAACTATTTTATACAACTTTTCATAAATCAAATAACAACTTTGCAACTATCACTGTCCCATAACCTCAAAACGCAAAATAATTCACTTCACTCCTTGTAATTATTGCACAAGAAACACAAAGGTACTAAGTGCTCTTTAAGCCTTTGTGCTAGATTCCTACAATTTATTAGTACTTACTACTTTTGTTAGATGGCGTTAGCTAATTAAAAATTATAATTATCAGTTAGCTCCAGTGTACATACGAAATCTTAATTTCGGAATGCATTTAACTCATTTTGCCAAAAAAGTCACTTAACACCTGTATTGCTGACACCTGTGTGCGCTGTGTAACACCTGTATTGCTGAAACCAGCAACTGATAATAGAGTATTTTTAAACTGTAGTGGCGGAAATCTCTAGGAACAGTAAAGAGTCACCAAACAAAGAAGTGGCGTTCCAAAAATGCTTATGATTTAAATCAAATTGTTAAAGATAGGTACACACAATTTATTAAAAAATTATATTAGATTATATTTTTGGCAATATTGTACTACAATTTAATACATATTATTATAATATATCACATATATATATATATATATATATATATATATATATATATATATATTATATATATATATATATATATATATATATATATATATTGTCTGTTTGTGAAACCATAGATACGTATTACATATTACAATATTAATAAATATTAATTACAAAGATTGTTTTAACTTTAAAACGTTTATTGTTTATAATATTACTCACTTAAACGTCACAATGTCAAACTTGTCACTATAATCGGAGAATACAGTGAGCGAATGGGACTAGAGATTAATACCAAAAAGACCAAATTCATTATCATCTCCAGAAACTTGGATGCATTTGAAAACTCCACCATAACACTGCATAGTAAATCCATAGAAAGAGTGAGTAAATTTAAATACCTGGGATCGTGGCTTTTTGAAGACTGGGCATCGGACAGGGAAGTAAAATGTCGCATTGAGCAAGCTCGACAAGCTTTCGTAAAATTCAAGAAGGTACTGACTTGTTCTGAGTTCGATCTTCAACTGAGACTAAGGTTTACTAAGTGCTACGTATGGTCAGTGCTGCTATATGGCGTAGAGGGCTGGACACTCAAAACGAGGGATATAAACAGATTGGAAGCTTTCGAAATGTGGCTTTATCGCCGTATCCTAAAAATACCATGGACAGCGAAAATCACAAATATAGATGTCCTTAAAAGAATAAACCAAGAACGCCAACTTTTCGAAACCATCAAGAAAAGGAAAACGGCGTATCTAGGTCACATCATGCGAAATGAAAAATACCAGTTCCTCCAACTTATAATCGAGGGTAAAATTGAAGGCAAGAGAGGAATGGGACGCAAGAAAATGTCCTGGCTCCGAAACATAAGGCAATGGACAGGGATTAACGACATACAATCTCTGATACATATTGCAAGAAATAGAGAGTTAATGGAAAATGTGATCGCTAACATCCATTAGTGGATTTGCATCTGAAGAAGAAGAAGAAACGTCACAAAGTTAAATAGAAAATATACGAAATGACCGTAATAAAGCAAAAAAATAATACATACATAGAGGACAGTTTAAAAACTTATATTGACATAGGTTACATAGGTACATCGTAATGTTAAATTATATTATTCACTTTCATAATCAGATGCACTGTCGTCGTCACTAGAATCATTTAAATCAACCCCTAATTCTTCAGTAATTACATCTATGCGACGTTCACTTTCCAAATAC